CACAGGGCTTCAGTGTTTAGAGAAAGAAGCACCTTTTGTTAAGTTGTACGTGGATACTGTATGGATTAGCTGTGGCTGCAGCCATCAGGTTGAATTGGTAGCCTTAGATTGGGTTTGCTAAGATTAAGGTATACTAGTAAGGAAGTAGAGGCAGCGGAGCCACACTGCTTCTTTGGGAAGGTGAGCTGAGAAAAAAAGAAATGCAGGGGAGTAGCTAGAAGGAATAGAAGATGAAGGAGAGATTATTTTTGTCACGTGGAAGCCTGTGTCTGTAGACAGAAGAGGAGAAATAACCAGTGGAGAGAGTGAGCCAGACAGGTATAAGGTAAAGGGGATAGTTAATGATGAGATCTAGATTCCTGAAGTGATAGTGAACGAGATTAGGGCAAAAGGTTGTCTAATACCCCTCTGAAGAGATGTCTGGAAGGATGATAGCAATTGACCCCTGAGTTAGTTTATTGTGCCAACCTACCCCATAAACACATGTGGGGTTAATTGAAGGGTGGAGGGATAAATGGCTCCGTGAGCCTAACCTTTCTAGTTCTCTGGTCTCTTGCTTTGTGATGGTCGCACCAGGGTGTAGCTGCCTTAGCAGTTCCCTGCTTCAGCTGGCAAGGCTGACTTCCTGCAAGACATCCCCAAAGAGAAGCCACATGGACCTACCCCAATGCAGCTCTAGGTGCTGGAGCACCCATTGGAGACCACTGCCAGTGCCGAGATGCGTATGCGTTCACTGACTCAACTTTGCTCCTGCAGTCGGCTGGAATGTTTTCTAGATGTGCACTTTACCTATATGTATAAAATTCTCTCTTATAAATGAGTTTCTGTGGATTTGTTTCTCTAAAGTACCCAGACTAACACAACCGCTTACCAAAAATTCACCTGTCAGCAACTTGTCTCAGTCACACTCAAATACTTATGGACTTAATGAAACAATGAGTTTTTAAAAATCTACAGAAATCATCTCAGCACTTCTGATCTAGTAGACCTTTTGCATTTTAATTTCCAGTTTATTCAAAGGCATTGCTGTAGTATGAGTTTATAGCAGAATAGGGAACTTTTCATTTTATATCTGATAGAGCATATTTTATCATTTTAAAGCCCAAAAAGTCTGTAGTTAAAGAGAAAGAATGGCAAGGAATGGGTGGGTTTAGAAACTAAAATAATGAGCTAAAACTTCTCAGTTTTTATTGCAACTCACAGTGATCCATCTACAACAAAACAACATTGCTTCATCGGGGACCATCCTCACAATCCTTGCCATGTTTGATCCCATGGTTTCAGTTACTGTGCCTGTGCCAGGCCATTTTGTTAGGGACCTTCCTCCTCCTCTCTTACTCTCTACAAGCTTGGTGTCCTCCTTCAGGAACTGGTCTCTCCTGATAACACGAGCAAAATAGATGAGGTGAAATCTCCTCATCCTCATTTCTAAGGAGCATTCTGCCTGTATTCTTCTCAAGACATATTTATTTGTTCTTCTGGCAGTTCATAATGTATATTCATAATTCAAATTCATCTTTTGTGTGTGTCATTTTATTTATGTAATTAATCATTTTATTGTGAGTTCAATCACATCGTGCAGTGTTGTACAATTTCTACCACAATCAGTGTCAAACATTTTCTTCTTGAACTCCTTGATATCACCTCCCCTTTATCGTCTCCCTCTCCCACCCTACCCTCAGAAACCCATATTTATTTTTCCTGTAATAGTTTTTTCTTTTATATCTTGCACAGTCCAGTCTATCTATTCACATACAATTCTGTTGTTCGATCCCATTAAGTGGAGTTACACAGTCATCAATGCTATCTGCTCCCTATTCCCCCCTCCCTCTCTTCCTATCCCCTCAGGGAATCATTACCCCTGTTAACTGTTTCTGAAGGATTATCTATCTTGGCTTTCATGTACCAAATGATCTTAAACGTAAAAAGGAACATACACAAATCTAACATGATTAATAAGGTAAAATAAGTAAAAACCATGATAGTAAGGGGAGGAAATTTTTAAAGAACTAGAGGATAGTTAAGTGATTCATCATACTATATTGCACCCTGGATTTATCACTCCTTCCATGTGGCCCCTCGGAGAGGGACTGTCCAATTGTCTTACAGGTCGGTTTTGGGTCTCCACTACATCCATGCCCCTTCAGCTCATGACTTCTTCAGTCTCCCTTATTCAGTGTCCAGCTTTCACACATGTATGTGGTGGTCAAAAATACTTAGGCTTTTGCATCAGGTGCACCTTACTCCTCAGGGTGACATTTGCTTTATAGAACCTTGAAGAAGTCTTAGCTAGCAGATTTGTCCGGTGCAATATGTCATTTGATTTCCTGACTGCTGCTACCATGAGTATCGATCGTGGGTCCAAGGAAAATAAAATCTTGAACAACTTCAATCTTTTCTGTTTATCATGATGGAATCTATTGGTCCGGCTGTGAGAATTGTTTTCTTTACATTGAGTTCTAATCTAAAGCTTACAGTCTTTGATCTTGATCAGTAAATGCTCTCAATTCCTCCTGTGCTCAGCAAGCAAAGTTATATCATCTGCATATTGCATGTTGTTAATAAGTTTTCTTCTGGTCTTGATGCCACGTTCTTCATATAGTCCAGCTTCTTGAATGATTTGCGTAGCATACAGATGGGGAAAGGATAGCACCCTAATGCACACCTTTCCTGCTTTTGAACCAGGCATACTCTGTTCTAACATACCTTGGTCACGGTACATAACCCACATAAGCACAATAAACTTCTGGAATTACCATTCTTTGGTAGTGTTATTCATAGTTTGTAAATGATTCGCACAGTCAAATGCAATTTGCATTGTCAGTGAAGCAGGTAAATAATTTTCTGGTTTTCTCTGCTATTACCTAATATCTGTCTGACATCCACACTGATATTTTTCTCTCTGAATCTGGCTTAAATTTTTGGCAAGTCCTTGTCAATGTACTGCAACCAACTGTAATTGCAACTGTTGGGGAAATATTTTCTTTATAATGTTTTAATTCAATAAGTTCCTTATTTCATTGAATCACCCATCTTTGGGATGAATAAGTATGCATCCCATTTAGTTGGTGGCCAGGTAGCTCGCTAAAATACTTTGCCATAGAGAAGTGAGTTCCTCCACCAGTGTCACCTCAAGTGGTATTGCATCAGTTCTTGGAACTTTGCTTTTCACTGTTGCCTTCAGTGCAGCTTGGACTTCTTCCTTAAGCACTATCAGGTCGTGACCATGCGTCACTTCTGAAATGATCGACTGTTGACCATTTATTCGTGGTACAGCGATTCCTTTTATCTTCTTTTGATGCTGCCTGTGTCGTTCATTACTTTGCCCATAGACCCCTTCAGTACTCCTAGAGGCTTGCATTATTTCTTCCGTTCTTTCAGCTTGAGCAAGGCTGAGCATATCCTTTCCTTTTTGCCTTCTCACTCCAGGTCTTTGCACATTTCTCAAGCCACCTTGTGAAGCCTTCTGTTCAGTAAAAAGTGCTTTTACTTTATTTCTCCAATTTGGCTTTAGCAATACTACATTCAAGAGCAAGTTTGAGTCTCTTCTGACATTTATTTTGGCCCTTTTTCCCTTTTTTATCTTTAAAACCTGCGAGTTCTTCCTACATGATGTTCTTAATGTCTGGTCTTCAGTTACTAATGTATCAGTTCCATTTTTGAGATAGTTTTTAACTTTAGGGGTGATTAACTCAAGTTGTACTTTGGCTTTCAGATCTCAGTGTTCTAAAATTCAGGGCATGGTAGTTTTTCTCTGGAAAAACTTCTCTGGAGAGAAGGCTATGGACTGAGAAGAATGTTAAACTTAGGGGCAATTTTGGAGAGGGGAACATGCTAGGGAAACTCTTAAGAGACGAATGCCCTTTATAGGTAGAATAAACGCTTAGTTTGTTTTACTCTGATATTCATTGTGCTTATTATGTACATCAAGGTAATATATGGTTCGAAACTCTTTGATTTTCTAAAGATAGTACCTAGGAGGGGGCAGGTATTACAAGACTATTAGTTATTCAAACCCATTTTTTAAGTCTGTTCTGACTCATAGTGACCCTGTAGGACAGAGTGGAATCACCCCATAGTGTTTTCCTAGCTGTAATCTATAGAAGTGGACTGCCAAGCCTTTGTCCCATAGAGCATTTGGTGGGTTTAAATTGTCAATCTTTGAGTTAGCTGCTTAGCATTTAACCACTGTGCAGTCTCTGCTCCTGTTGTGTAGTTATAAGTAACTTAAACAAGGACAGTTGATCCTAAACAGACAGTGATACCTCCTAGAACCCTTTGGCAGGAAAGCCTACTTGAAATAGGCCTCAGGGAAGACAGGGCCGAGGATGGGAGAGCTCTCTTCTCTTTCCACAGCCCCTTTACCATGTGCCTGTCTTATGGTATGTAGTCTCTGGCTGATCTCTCTGTCCCATTCTAGATACCCACCCAGAAAGAGACTCAGCTTGTCTCTGCTTGGGTCAGAAGTCCACTGTTGCATTTCCAGTGGAAATGGGCTGTGCAGTGTAAATGTGGCCACCTGGGTCTTGCCCGTTGGGTGATGGGTGAGAAGTAGCCATGAGCTGACGTGATGCCCCACTATAATCCCATTGCAGAGAGATTTATTTGGTTTATAAACACACTTTTTTGACAGAAAGCTGCTTTGGGTAAGTACTGACATTTACATGAAATAATGCCCAAAAGAGAGCATGGCAGTTGCCTGTGGCAGTTTAGATAAAGAGGTGGTTAATTTGATAAGGCTTTTGTTAAAGGTGGGAATGAGCAGGGCCTCAAATTAATCTATCATATATACTCGAATATAAGCCGAGTTTTTTAGCACATTTTCTATGCCATATTTGTGGTAAAATTAGGTGCCTCGGCTGATATTTGGGTCAGTTTATACTCAAGTATATATGGTAATTTTACCACAAAAACTGCATTAAAAATGTGCTGGGAAAACTGCTTATACTCAAGTATGTTTATTATTAGGGTAGTTCATTTTTGTACATCATCATTTTTTTTTAAATTGTTACATAAGTTAACCTATTTATTACAGGCCAGAGAGGTTTTGGACAGTGGAGCTTCCAGTCTTTCAGTTCCTTCAGTCTTCTGATGGCAGACTTCTCTGTCAGCAGAGGGCCATTGTAGGTCAAGGCCCCACCAGCTACTGTCTTCACGCAGGAACCACAGTGCCAGAGACCCACAGCGCGTCTCTTCATCTTGGTTTTGCTGCAGAAGGAGCAAGTGTACTTGGCATGTTGGCTGATTTCAATTTTCCTGAGGGAGGCACCGTAACGGGTCCCGTATTTACCCACGATCCCAACCTTCTTGGTGCGTTTGGCCATCTCGCCGCAAACTAGTCCCAAGCCAGAGAGCCAATTTTATTTTGAATAACCAGAGTAATTCAAGTCTTAGTGAAGTGGGTTCATACTTAAATATACAATGATTCCTGGTGGATTTTATTTGGAATTTTTCTAATTAATTTATTCCAAAATTTAGATGAACTGCCTTTGGACAAAACAGGGCATGTGAAGGATCCAAATCTGGAAGATGGAGTCATTATTAGTGAACACGGTGAGGATGAAATGGACATGGAAAGTGAGAAGGAGGAGGAGAAGCCAAAGGCCGGTGGAGCTTTTTCAAATGCTTTATCTTCTTTGAATGTTCTTCGTCCAGGTTGGTACTCAGAATTTAAATCGCTTCTCAGAACAGAAATAAGCTATCAAGGATGGACCGTCTTAAAAGATGGTACGGGAGGGAGAGAGTAAAGTGGCTTTTCTTAATATGATATCCCTGTATGGAACCTAGGTGTTTGCCAGGGTCAAAAGTGGGCTAACTAGAAGCTTTCCAGTTTTCTCAGTTTTACTCACAGACAGGTAGTTTTGTTATTAATAAAAGTGGAATTTCAACTAAATGGATAAATAGTACTAATTTTTTTTAATATTTCAAATAAAATTAATAATGCTTTTTTCTGTAAATATTTTTCCCAGAACTGCTAATAAGTAGAACTTGCGACTATTTTGTGCTCATTCTCCCTTTTTCCCTTTTCTACAGGAAACAGTTGATAAATCTATATATTTAAATTTAAGATACCGCTTAATGAAGTTCATGAAGTTTAAAAACACCTGGTATATCTTGAGTGGCAATATAATTGGCATAATCCTTAAGGATACTTCTTTTCTAATAGATTTCAAAATATTCATACCCTTTGACTCACTAATTTCATTTCTAGAAATATATTCCAACATCAAATACATAATGCTTTTACTGCAACATTTTTGCAATGGACAAAATGTAGAAGAAAATGTCTATCAATAGGAGAATGACTTAGGGAATTTAGGTATACTTGCTTTATGGGATATTACATAGCTATTGCTATAACAGATAAGTATGACAGTGCTGATTTTTATTGTAGGGACAAAAGCCATTTGATTAAATAGCATTATGCTTTATTGTTTAGTTATTTTATGTTTATGTTTAGCAACATGTAAAATAGCTTATTTATGGCTTAATATATTGAGGAGTTAGGTACAGAATTATAGTCAATATGTTTATAGATAAGCCAAAACCAGTATATATACTGCAAGTCTAATGGTAATTTTTTTCAGATTATGGGAGACTTGGTCTTTTGTTTTTCAGTTAGTATATAAAAGCGAACACGATGTCATTTTTTTCTTTCTTTATTAACATGGTAAAGTACAACTACTTGATGAAGTTATTGTACCCTTTATATTTTCAAACAAATAGAAAACATATCTCTGATGCTACCATATTTTCTATTTTCATCATTTGTTTACAGGAGAAATTCCAGATGCGGCTTTTATACACGCGGCGAGGAAAAAACGTCAGATGGCCCGGGAATTGGGAGATTTCACTCCCCACGATAATGAACCTGGTAAAGGCCGCCTGGTCCGGGAAGATGAAAATGATGCTAGTGATGATGAAGATGATGATGAGAAGCGCCGTATAGTTTTCTCTGTGAAAGAAAAGTCCCAAAGACAAAAAATTGCTGAGGAAATAGGTAACCTAATTTAATAGAATAATATTCTTATTACATTTCTATTAGTGAGCTTTGGTAATTCCTGGAGGCATCGAAAGATCATGGGGTGGGGCAGAGGAGTACATTATCTTTAAATTCTTTCCCGCAACAAACGTTTTAAAGCCCCCCTCTTACATTCTACTCCCTGAGTTATGATGTCCGTTTTCTGTCTTTGTATGAATTTGTAGGTCAGTGGGAATAAGTGCATGTAGTTATTTGGCCTTCCTCTGGTGCAAGAAGAGCCTCAAAGTGTTTTTAATGATTTAGAGACTGAAATGAAGGCAGTTGTGATGAAGAAATTGTTAAGTGTCGGGGTTAGTTCGTTCATTCGTTGTGAGGGCAAATCTAGCTAATGCTAGTGACACAGTTGAATGTGTGTAGATCTCCATAGCCCTGCGGAATATCCTGTCCCACAAGACAGGCTGCTTTCAGACCCACTGAACCTCCCAAATCCCAGGCCAGGACTTCCACCCATAGTTTTTCCTGCTGTGACATTGTGATAAATCATCCAACAGACATAAAACTTTGTCTGTTCCTGTTGCGATTCATTAGCTATGACCAGACTAATTCAAAGCCCTGCACTCAGGGCAAGTAGGATGGCTCAGGACTGGGCAGTGTGTCCTTCTGTTGTACAGAGTCGTTGTGAGTTGGAACTGACTTGATGGCACCTAACAACAAGAGGGGTTGTCCTAAGTCCGAAATTAAAATATTAATTATACTGCCTGTAAGCAAATAAAAAGTTCCTATATGTATACTTTTTAATCTGTTCTATGATAGATATGTTAGAGGACTATTCTTGCTTGGTTACAAGTGTCTTTTTGGACTCCTTTGAGAACTGTGGTTGCTTATGCTTTTTGAGCACTTTCTGTATGACTGACACTATGCTAAATACTTTATATATATGTAACTGTATACTATTTACCACATTCTTAGGAAAGGTTAGGTTTTATTTTTCCTCCTATTCAAGTTCAAAGTTTATACTTATTAGGAAAGCTACTTAAAATTTTAACTACTGTATTATGCTGCCTTTAGCTTCAGGGGGATAGTATTTTTAAGACAAAGTCACATGTATCAAATGACAAGACACTGTAGTAAGTTTGAGTTTATATCAGTGGTTTTGCTTAATGTGAAATAACAGACCAGCATCCTGTCCTTTTCCTGGCATTGGTGATTCTTTGTTTGCTGCTGGTATTTTGCAGGTATTGAGGGAAGTGATGATGATGCTTTAGTAACTGGGGAGCAAGATGAAGAGCTTAGCCGATGGGAACAGGAGCAGATACGAAAAGGCATTAATATCCCTCAGGTAAGTATGAAACTAGAACTGAAAAAAACACTTTTGTTAAAGTGAAAGCAAGATACATAGACTCTTTATCATTCATGGTAACATGGTCAAACCCACCAGACAATGTATCTCGTAGACTCTTAGAACAAACTGTATTTTATTTACTTGTAGCAGTTAGAATGATGGAGGAATTTACATTTCCCAAGATCGTTTTCTCAAAGTGTGGTCTCTGAACCAACAAAGACATTGCATGAGAGCTCAGTATTACCTTTGATCTACTGAGTCAAAAGCTCTGGGGAATGGGGTCCAGAGGATTCTCGTGCACAGTAAAGTTTGAGAACCATTACTTAAGTATAGATTTTTAAAAAATTTTTATTGTTTTAATTTTATCTTGTAGGAAGGTGGTTTCTCAGTAATGCAAAAACTTCATTGACATAGATTAAGATTTTCTTTCTAAATATTGCAAAGGTTGGATGCATACAAACTATTTTGTAGTAGTGTTTTGAAGCAGCCTTTGGCTTGCACATAGTTTGAGGAAAAAGTAAAGAAAAATACTAGTCTTAGATTGTAATCTCTGCTTGCCCCTTTTTCCTACAATTACAAGCAAGTCGTTGATCCTCTATATTAATAAAATTGTGGCCTCTGATTATCTTTAATATTCCTTCCAAATCTAAAACTTATCTTAATCTATTTTTTGCTTATTATAAATACAATGATGCCATCAAGAGATAGGCCATCTTCAATTTCGACATTGATTTGTTAGAACTCTGCAGTTATTTATAATTATACATGATAAGCAACCTCGGGTTTATGATCCAGTTATTTTCCAAAGTCTGTCTGTAATTTAACTGGCTTCTAGAGGATCTACTGGGCCAGTTAAATTGCCAGCAGAGGTCAGTTTAGAAGGGAATGGTGGCTTGTTTTTTGGTTCCATGGGGTAATCTTGATAGATTTTCTGAAAGGACATAGGAAGGGGAAGAAAAGGAAAAACTGCATTAATCAGAAAAATGCCAAGGAAATGTTTTTTCTATCCTGGTAGTGCATCTCCTTGTTCTCCAAGGCTAGCAGGGCTGTCGTATGAGAACTGCTTTAGGAAACCTGACCCCATCCACCCTGCTTCAGTCTTTTTGTTGTTGTTCCCCAAACTGAAAGAGCTTTTCAAAGAACATGATATGAGTATGTTTAAGCTATCATTTTGTTGTGATACATATAAATCAAAGAGCTCAGAATTTTTCAAGGAAGCACCACTTTTTACAAACTTTATGGTTTTCAATCACACTCGTATAGAACTTTAATTACACTCGTATAGTGTACTTTTCTGTACATAGAAAATATTAAACAGTTCCAGCTTAACTAAAAACAACCTTTTAACATGCCAAAACAGTAATAATAATTCCATGATGCATTTCACAAAGTGGTGCCTATATATTACAAACCATTGTACGTGCCTCAGATTTTTAACTCATAATACTATAATGGGGTTCATTTGTAACTAGGGTGTGGATAAATCAGACATTTATTAGGGACTGCCTGTATATGAAAAACAGGTATAAGTTTATTTTCAGTCTTTTTTTAACATGCTATTGCCTTCAGTGTTTTTGCAACAGTTTTCAATATATCCCATTTCTTTTCTAGGTTCAAGCAAGTCAGCCCACCGAAGTGAATATGTACTACCAGAACACTTACCAGACAATGCCTTATGGCTCATCCTATGGCATTCCTTATAGTTATACGGCTTATGGATCATCAGATGCCAAATCTCAAAAAACAGATAATACAGTCCCTTTCAAAACTCCCAGTAATGAGATGACTCCCGTTACTATTGATTTGGTAAAGAAACAGCTTAAAGACAGGTAGGGTAGATCAACTTCTTAAAGACCTGTCCACTAGCTTTCTGTTCCCTCAGGCAACTTAGAGTCTGGGGTAGCAGATGCAGAATCAGCAAAGAAGAAATCGCTGGCCCACCTTCAAAAGCTGAAAAGAAGACGACTTCATATTGTTCTGCTACCTTCTTGGATTTCTTC